TGGAATCGAGGTGGTTAACTTCAAACGCCAGCGTTTCATGGAGTTGAGGATTCGGTATAACCGATGTGCTGAAGTTTCTTTACACTCAAGATTTTAGCTTAATTTTGCTGTGATATTTATCAAGGTAAGAATCAATTTCTTTCTTCGACCTTTTTTTTAAAACTAGAATTATTGCATTAATTAAACGTACGAATCTTTTCTCAATGGCCCTCTGGTCAAGAATATGAATGCTACCCGTGGTACTCTACTAAATGGAAACTCCTTATGGGGCACCAATGAAGCCCTCCAAAATAACTCATCTACCACACCAGCCTCTTCACAGGAGGCTGGTGAAAGCCTCCGCGTGCGCCACACCGGCCTCCGCACAGGAGGCTGGTGAAATCCTCCGCGTGCGGAGGTTCCAGCCTCCGCACGCGAAGGTTCTAGCCTCTGCGTGCGCCACACCAGCCTCCGCACAGGAGGCTGGTGAAATCCTCCGTTTGCGGAGGTTCCAGCCTCCGCACGCGAAGGTTCTAGCCTCCGCGTGCACCACACCAGCCTCCGCACAGGAGGCTGGTGAAATCCTCCACGTGCGGAGGTTCCAGCCTCCGCACGCGGAGGTTCTATCCTCCGCGTGCGGAGGTTCCACCCTCCGTACGCGGAGGCTGGCGTGGGTCTGTGTGCCTCCGCCAGCCTCCGAGTGAGAAGGTTCAGTGCGGAGGTTGGAACGTCCGCCCGCGGAGGCTGGTGCAGATAAAATGAATTTATTTTTTTAACTTCACTCTTCAAGAATCCAGATTCTGATTTTGTTGGATAAATGCCTTATTTTGACCTTTTTTTTTTCGAATTTGATCTTTTGTATTGGGTTTCTGGAATCTTTGATTTTTGGGGTTTATGACTTTTGATCAATACTGATATCAGACACTTGAATTTATGCCTGAAATCGCATAAATATCAGAGATTTTTGGGTGGGTTTTTATATTCCAGAAGAGCAGTTAAATTTTTCCAAATAAGAAGATATAGAGAAGAAGGAGAAGATGGCGAGAAGTAGAGAAAAAGAAGATCTG